CCTATTATTATTATTATTATTATTATTATTATTTTAATTTGACCAGACAGAGAAAGGGAAAGCAAGAAAGCAAGCTGCCAGGTCTGGGACTCGAACCGCAGTTAGCCACGTGGAAATCCAGTGCCTTTAACCACCACGCCACCTGCCAGCCCCCCAAATAAATAATTCTTAAACACACACACGCACACGCACGCACACACACACAGGTAAGGGCTTCCAAGCAAAGACACAACCAGCGGGGGCCACCCCATTCGTGCCCAGGCTCATGTGCTGTCCCCTCGGGCCAGCTCTTTGTGTCCCGGCCCCTGGATCATAACTTACTCGCTTCCCTTTCTCTCCCAGTGGTCCCAGAGGCCCGGGAAATCCAATGGATCCCTGCAGGGAGAGAATCCGAGAGACAAGATGCAGTGAGAAGTGGGTGGTGGGTGGAGTCGGCCCTAACCCCATCTTTCAAGGCCTTTCAGGCCACTGCTTCCAGAAGCTTCTTCGGTCCTCGCAGCCCCAGCTTCCTCCAAGACAGCCTTTTCCCTCCTCTCCAACCCCTCTCTTGTTTTGTGACTCCCACCTCGGCCACACTGGCGCCCCCAGTCTTCCCCGGGTGCACCAGGACGCTCCAGCCATGGGGCCTTTGCACAGGAGGCTCCGCAAAGCCAGCCCCTCCTCATCCTGGAGATCTCACTCAGACGTCACCTCCTGCCACCATTCTGGTCACCACCCTCTATCACCTTATCCTACTTCATAGTCCCCAGAACACTTGGAATAAAAAGCCCAGGTCTACCGGCCAACTTACCCAAGGTCTGCTTCCCCCAACTAGGAACAGCTTGCTACTTAGTAACTAAACTAAGGGGTTCCAGTTCACAGAGGCTGCCTGTTACTGAGTGACCTAATACTCCCTCTACCCCCAGGGTTCACATCCTGGAAGGGCGCTTGCTCAGTCCCCGCCACCCTGCTCCCTCCCCTCCCTGACAAGGGCACATGCCCTATAGCAAAAGTTATAAATGAACTAATTTTTTAAAAGAGATTTTTGCTGCAGGATGCATGAGCTCACTGGAGAGACAGAGACAGAAAGAGAGAAATCACCCCACCTCCCCC